TTTTTCCGAAGAAGATTCTGCTTTCATTTCTCTGAATTTTGCTAATTTTTTGGTTTTGAATGTAGGTTCATGCGCAAGGGCTTTCGTCCTCTTCTGGGCTAGATTTTATAAATCTGCCAAGATTTACGACATAATCGATGCGATACATCGCTACGCCAGCTCGACGACGTCAGAAACCTTGACGAATCACATACATAGAGGTTCTCCTGCAAAAATCAAGTTTTCGGTATTTAACTGAACACTGGAAAAAAAACACATTGGAAATAGAGTCCAGACTCTTAAAAACATAGACAAGAAAAAATACTCTTGATTCAATCGGATTTTTGCTTAGATCAAGAACCAAGCCTCTTAATTTGAGCGGATTTCCTTTTGATTTATTAAGCAAAAATCTGATCGAATCAAGATTCCTTTTCTTTGTCAATGTTTTCAAGAGTCTGGACTCTAGATCCAATGTGTTTTTTTTTCCAGTGAACAATGAGAGCTCTGCAGAACTCAAAAATTCGATTAAGGGGACGCCAAAAGAAAAAATGCCGGGAATTTCCATCGACGCCGGTCAACAGCGCACCATCAGAGGGGGACGCGACTCCGAGAAGGGTACGGATACAGAAATGAGCAATATGCAAACGCTATTCGTCCAGAAGGCAACTCGGTCCGGAAGGGGGGGGGGCCAAAAGTGCGTGCTTCTGCATTAAACAGATCTCCGAAAAGCTATAACGACAAAACGCCACGCACAGCTTTCCTCCAGGCAGCCAGCGATGCCATCACACTGGAAATAAAAAGTGAAGGAGAGAGAGAAGGGGAAAACGATTGGGCATCGAAGGTTTGCGCGGTAAGAAAGAAATGAAAGATTGGAAATTTCAGTTAAATATTTCATGAAATTCTCGAGGGTGTAAAATATGTCATTTTTTCAGGGGCTAGACCTCAATGCAACCCGCACTCAATCACACAAAATATAGGAAAGTCACAATTTTCACATTTTACGAAACATGATAAGGAACCGGTATTTTTCAGTATCTTTCATACATTTTTAAAATCTCATGTAATATTTCACGTGAAATTTCAAGATTTTATTTTTCATGAAATTTTGCCACTCTATCCTGACTTGATTTTCCCGCGCTTGATTTTCAGCCTATCAGACACCCGACGACCACTTTTAAATTCCTAGTGGGAACGAACTTGGGAAATCAAAACCATGTGTTATTTTCATTTTCGCCTGTGCTGAACTGCGTGCAGTTGTAAAATGTTTTTCGAGCTTAAAATTTCTTGATCCATGACCAATTTTCCTGATATTTTCCCGATTTTTCCGAATAACATTAAATTTCCAATTCCCGATATTGATTTCCTTTCATCAAATTTCTTGATATTTTCCGACTTAAAGTGACGGCATCGAATTTCCAATTCCTGATATTGATTTTCTTTCATCAAATTTCCTGATATTTCACCGATTTTTCCTGATGACATCATTTCCGATTCTTGGTATTGATTTCCTTTCATCAAATTTCCTGATATTTTCCGATTTTTAGTGACGGCACACAGTGCACACACTCTGTGAGCTTTCGCTTTGACTTATCAGAGACGATGCAGCAGAAAAAAGTTCGCATTCACCGCGACAACAGCGCATTCGAGTGAAGCTTTCAACTTTCGGGTCCGCGATATGGCGGAGTCATTTGAATACGCGTGTGGTGCTTCCCGCCCCCTCTCGCAACCCCTCCGGCCCCCTAGGGGGGCTGGCGCGGGCAGGATGACACTTAATTGAATACGCATAGGAATTCGATTATGAAATCCGCTCTCAAAATTTCCCTCGGCAAACGTAAAACGGTCTCAATTTCACTCGCGCGCCCGAGACTGGCGCTTCAAAGGGAAATATTTTGCCGTGCTAAGGAAGAACGCCGTGTGAGTATTCGAATATCGCCAAATTTCCTCTCGCAAAATATTTACTTTTGAAGGAAGTTATGAATACTGCTCCTTCAACTGTTCTGACTATTTAGATCAAATTACGAACAAAATTCTCTGAAAACTCGGAGGAAAAATAGTTACAAATCTCCCAGAAAATTAGTAATTTGTTAAAGGACATTTGGCAAATTCTGAAGGCTCATACAGCGTTCTTTCTTAGCATGACAGTGTTCCTCATCTTCGGGTGACTCCACGACTCGTGAAAGGAAAGCGAGGGTGCGTGCTGGGGTGGAGATATGACGCCGGATCACTGTTTGTTCATTTGAGGGCACGAAGTTCAAAGTTGTGGTTGTGGTGGTGTTGGTGAGGGTAAGTGCAGTCTGCGGTGAAATGGTTTTTCGGTAAAGTTCACATTCCCAGCGACATTCTTGTCAATTTTCGTTTCTGAGACATAATTTTGGTACATTTCATTCGGGTTTAGGAATGGACTGAATATAACACGATCGCACCAAGTTGGATTTTTGAATAAGGTGAGTTGATGGGTAGTTTTGAGTTTAACTACAGTCGTATACTAAGGGGCTACGCTCCCTGGCCGCTACGCGGTCTAACCCTCTGAAAGCACTAAAGACCCACTTCGCGGGTCCTAATCTAAGAAAGAGCGGAACTATTTCCCATTAGTATCCGCAAAAACCATCAAAATCGGTCCGGTAGATCGTCGAACGAAAAATGAGAGAATAGTGAACATTTACATTGTCTTAATTGGGAGAATTCACAACTTCATCACCAAGACTAGGGTAGACCGGAGTAATAAGCAAGGTGGGGGTTAATCAAAGATATACCCTATACGTCCATGGTAAGAGAAACGAGAGTATTAACCTCTTCCCCGAACGGATGTGAAGGAGTTAACTAAGCTTCAAATATTCCAAGCATCCAAAATCCGTCCCGTTTGTTTCGTTTCAGCCTTGGCGGAAAATTTGAAACCAGGAGGAAATTAGACCAATGAGGAGCCGAGTATGAACAGGGCGATTTTCATACACCAAGTTCTAGCTCTGGCAATGATGCAAAGAATCGCTAACGCAACATTTGGACACACGAAATAAACAAACGGCCCGCGTTTGCACCGCACTAACTCAATAATTACAATACAAGTTTAACATTAAAAAATGTTTCAAAAGTTTCGTTATGTTTAAAAATTTCATTTCATACGTGCATTCACCCTCTTACTGACTTTTTGGACGTATCCGTCAGAGCAAAAGGCCCACAAAATGTTCAAGGATAACCATCGATTCTTTGAGAGCGAAGTCTCTCCTCGAATCCAGCGGCTTGCGGTTCACCACGCGCGACACTTCCGGCGGCGTTATAGAGCGCCTTCACTTTTGAAAGCAGGCAACAAGCGATACACACACTAACCGGAGCCAGAACTTATTCCAAGTGCTTTACCCTCACCCCACGCCGATCCTGCACTCGGCGGCAGATGTGCCCCGCTCGACGTCAGAGCCGCGAGTCGGATGCAGATAAGGAAGAACACAGTAGCAGACACAAAAAAGAGAGGACGCCTGAAAAAAAAAAACAAACTTCGTCTGATTGAAGATAATGACGACGTCGGATTCAAATGGCTCCTGGAGCGGGCGAACAATTTAGTTTTACGATTAAAGTTGAAAAACTGGCTCGCCTTTAATTGAATACGCGTATCCTTAAAAATTCAGCTCGTTCCCTTCTCTTGCCCTACGGCAAATTAACCCCCCTCCCCCCGCGTGCGCGGGAAGAGGGAATATCTCCATCCCGAGCGTTCGAAGACTTAACTGTTTCCGGGCGGCCGTTCGGTTCGCGAAACGGGTGCAATTTGCGAAACCGGATGAATACGCTAATTCTGTTTGACTGCATTCGCGACTCCGTGCGTTGCTGCCAGCTTATGCTACATCTTTGCCCGAGAATGGTTGAAATATAATGATAGGAAAACTAAGATTTTTTCTGTTGATTTGTGTGCACGGAGGAAATGAAAAACTTCGGTTGCATGGACCGAATTTTGCTTCATACGGGGCACCAAAAGTTTCGGTCGTAAAAATCGAACTTGGATTCGGACATCTACAGTATTTGGTACAAACATACTATACTGCCGCGCGTGCGGAAAAACGCCGTGCGAACATTCGAATGCTGCCAAATTTTCTCTCGCAAAATATTTATTTTTGAAGGTAGTTATGAATACTTTTTCTTCAAATCTGACTGTTTAGATCATAAGAACAAAAAAAAGAAAAATAATTTGTTAACTCTGTAAAATAATTTCAAATTTTCCCGAAAATGTTTGGCAAACTCTGAAGACTCATTCGGCGTTCCTCCTTAGCACGGTAGTATAGGCTTAATGCACCTGACAACAAACTGAAGTTTGGCTAGCATTATTTTCAGTTGCCTAGACCGAAACCTTCGATGCTCGAATGAACCAACATTTTTTTTCATCCGTATAGATTTTTGGACCATACTGTAATTGCAAAAAATTCATCAGGGTATCAACTAAAATATCATTTTGGATTTTCTTCATTTTTCCTACTATTTTGAAAGGAGTTTCTGATTTTTTAAGCGAATAAATTGACACTCGATTCATTTCAAGAACCAACATAATTGATGGATTATTGTATCACATTTATCACTTTTTCCAGCCATGAGCTGCATGACGCTGGAAAATGCTTCACGCACTCGGAATGCCAAGAACCATGACCGATTTTCCTGATGACGTCGAATTTCCTGATATTTTCTCGTTTTTACTGACGGTAGACACCCTCCACAGGTTTATACAAAAAATAGGGGGAAAAGAAAAAGGGGATAGAGAGGGGGGAAAGAAAAAAGGGGGGGTATAGAAAAGGGGATGAGGTGTCAAGAGACGGAAAATAACTTATTTTTTTGCACGCTTTTGAAAAGTTAGCAGGAAAAACGTGGCCCGTAAGAGCAGGGGAAACGGGGAAATTTTGGCCTCGGAACAAGTTGCAATTTGTGAGGAAGCTTCTTTTTGGACTTTCACCATGCAGGAAATGGAATAAACAGAGGATATAAAATCATGTAATCCAATTGACATTAAATGATGATACAAAGATATGAAGTTCATGAACACTTACATGGATACGAGATGATTGCAGGTCTCGTCTCCAGTTAAAGCTGTTTACGCGACGCGCATTTGAAACTGAAACAAAAAGAATATGAGGAAAATTAAGCACATTTTGAGTGTAGGAGGTAAGAAAGGGTTTTAAGAGCAATCTAAAGATGTATAAAATAATTTTTCTGGCCGATTGAGACAAGTGTTTGAATTCAACAGCAGGCGCCAGGCGCTAAAAGCGCCAAACTTTTCCAATTGGTGCCTTAATAATTCAAATCGTGACCCAAAATTTGCGCCTATACATCTTTGCGGTCATGTTTCAAACTTCTAAGATAGATCTCGTCTCGTTGGGAGGGTCTCTGCAGAGAGATAAACGTTACCAGTCCATCGATTTTAAAGTAGACCTAAAAAAGAAGAGATTTTTTGATTGCAAGCTCGGATAATTCCAGATGCGCCAAGATGGTATTTTAGGACATTTCCGCCACGTTGGATTTTTGAATTTTGAAAATCCGACTTTTACGTTAGAAAATACTCCCTGGCATCAAATTTCACAAAAATCTATCGATCAGCTGGGAGCCGAGATAGCATCTTACGCCAAACCCACCATCTAAGATTTTCGAATTTTGTTTTCCCGTGATTTCAATTAAAATCGTTCGAAAAATTCTTGTAAATTTTTCAGCAAATCTGTGCGTATCTTTTTAAAAATATTGATTGCAATTGGAGCATTAACTGTGGTTCGCAACGTTGCAATCCAGGTAAATAAGCTCCTTTTCGCGTGGAACCATCGATATTTGAGTTCGCTTACGGCAGGCGTGACATACAACTATTCGACCACGTGTGTAAGCATGTTGCAGCTCCTCCGGATTGAAGGCGCGTCAAACTGCGAAGATCTCTTCACCGCCCTGCCGACCCTCGCTGGCGGGACGAACGCTAAAATCGCTGCGACACTTAGAGGATGCGTCCTTATGTACGACTCCCTTCTAATTGTCACTATAAAAAACCAAAATAACTATCCTGATAGCTACGATTTAGAATCAGGGACCGTGGTTTTTTTTCGGTAAAAACAAAAAAAGGAAAATAGGACTAAATTTTACGTCGTGACGAAATTTCCCATGATTTCGATTAAAATCGTTCGAAAAATGCTTAAAAATTATTCAGCAAATCTGTGCGTATCTTTTAAAAAATATTGATTGAAAATAAAGCATAAACTGTGGTTTGCAACGTTGCAATCGAGGTAAATAAGCTCCTTTTCGCGTGGAACCACCGATATTTAAGTTCGTTTACGGCAGGCGTGACATACAACTATTTGACCACGGGTGTAAGCATGTTGCAGCTCTGCCGGATTGAAGGCGCGTCAAACTGCGAAGATCTCTTCACCGCCCTACCGAAGTACCGACCCTCGCTGGCGGGACGAACGCTAAAATCGCTGCGACACTTAGAAGATGCGTCATCCTTTATGACTCCCTTTTAATTTTCACTATAAAAAACCAAAATAACAATCCTAATAGGTACGATTTAGAATCAGGGACCGTGGTTTTTTTTTCGGTAAAAACAAAAGGAGGAAAATAGGACTAAAAATAATGTGGCGACGTTTGAGTTCAAGTTTGTGTTTACCGTCAAAAAATATCACGTGGTAACTAGTTTCACAGAAATCGATCGAACAGACGCCACACATCGTGGGATCAGTTGGACTCGACACAGTGGTAAACAATAGCAGTCAATTTACATACGGCAGTGCGCCTTCATTTTCGTCTGATACTCCGCAATACTTCCGTGGCGGAATAGTTGCGCAGAGCGCCTTCAAGAGTTTATAGCCTCGACTGGCACGGAGATGATCACGTTTACCGCTAAAATTATACCTTAGCACGAACGCAGTTACACATTCGCTCATCACTGACAGTAAGGTAAAAACTTTCATACTTCAAGTCGCGACGTTACAAGTTTTTGTGTTTGATTCAAGATCAATTTCTTCTTAGCGGCAAATTCGAGAGTGAAATTCTGCTAAACACTAGAGTCCCTTTATACTGAGAGTCAAGACAATTCGGCTCATGGATGTCACAAACGGGAATAAAGATTACAGAAATTGAATGTTTTTCGTAATCTTTGATCGGCTCATTCTCAAATGCCTTTCTCCGTTCCTCCTCTCATTCCGTTTGTTCCTTGCCGAACCCGTAATTCCCTGGTCCATTCCAGATTATAATCTTTGCAATTGGTGAAAATGTAATCTTTATTCCCGTTTGTGACACTGTGGAGGCCTAAAATACGGGAACCAATCAGAAATGGATTCAAATTGTCTTGACTCTCAGTATAAAGGGACTCTACTAAACACTAGAAAAAAAAACACATTGGATCTAGAGTCCAGACTCTTGAAAACATGGACAAGAAAAAGGACTCTTAATTCAAGCAGATTTAAGCTTGAATCAGATTGAATCAAGCGTATTTTTTCTTGTCGATGCTTTTAAGAGTCTGGACTCAAGATCCAATGTGTTTTTCATTCCAGTGAACTTATGTCACTTCTTCCGAATGAAAGCATGAACGACTCGATTTTTCAGCTCTCAATTCTAGCAGGGAAACACGACACGACGCTTTCAACCCAGGTACCAAGTTGTCTGGAACCTCCTCATCAAGCGAATAGACACATCGATTATCGACCAGCTCACATCTCACACACGCAGACCGCTTACGCGGCTAAAAGCTGCGATAAATCCCGAGCTTAAAAGCTCCCTTTTTTAGCGAAAAATTAGACTCGGCGCGACTCAGCATGGGGGCGGGGGGCGGGTTACAATCATGTTTATGGATTCGCTCCGGTTGTAAACGGGATGAGGTCGGTAAAAGAGAACCGAGCTTATCCCCGGAGGCCCTCTCACTTTGATGACTCCGACCCCCCCCCCCCCNAACTCCCCCCCTTGCCACGTCATATTTTCATTTTTAATCTCGGCCTGCGCGACTCCTCACCTCTCCGGCTTCGGAGCTGGAGGGCCACGTCCTTTTCCGGAGGGTTCCGGGGGTATTTTTAGCCCGCGCGCCGGGTTTTTAGTGGGTGACGTATGCCACGCTGGAGTCCCCGCCGCCACCGCCGAGGCAGCGATTTTTACCCTGCGCTCTTCAAAGCTCTGGGCCGTGTTCGTAGTCGGTTCTTCGACAGGCTCATTCCCGTGCCAGGACCCTGCATGCTTTATAAGCAGGATTGCCACAGAATTTAGAGAAGGAAATGGAGATGTTGCATGTGTGAGGGATTTGCGATTTGACTGTTGATTCTTACGTAAAAGTTTGCGAGAAACACGATGGTGCCACTAGTTTTCTCTGAAATCAACTCCCAAGCTCAAAAAAAGCTCTCAGGTCGAGGCCAAAATGGAGGGGATATCCCACGCTATCCTGAGAGTCTACATCTACGTCAAGACGAACTCTCCATGCAAAGATAGGGAGCAAATACATTAGCAGGGTTGCCGTGCTTTCAGTTTTGGAGTCCCCAAATAAGGTGGCAGCCCTGTCGATGTATTTGCTCGCTATCTTTGCACGGAGAGTTTGTCTTGATGTAGACGTGGGCTCTCAGGATAGCGTGGGATATCCCCTCCATTTTGGCCTCAACTTGAGAGCTTTTTTTGAGCTTGGGAGTTGATTTCAGAGAAAACCAGTGGCACTATCGTGTTTCTCGCGAACTTTTAAGAGAGATTCAACAGACAAATCGCAAATTCCTCACACATGCAACATCTCCATTCCCTGACATTTCCCTGATTTCCTTGACACATTTTGGTGAAATTCCCTGACAATTGAACAAATGCCACATTTTTAAAAAGTCATAGTTAGAAATAGTTTTCAGGCAAAATTTGTTCTTCGAAACGCGAAACCCACTCGAGAAAGCAAATGAAGGTGATTTGAAGCTTTTTCCCTGACATTTTCAGGTATTCTCTGACTTTTTAAAATCCCCTGACATTTCCCGATTTTCCCTGAATGTGGCAACCCTGCTGTATGCTTTAGAAGTTATGAAGTTGAATTTTGCTCGCGATTCGTTAAAATTAAATTTTTTATGATGCTTCCTTTAGGATCTTTTTAAACCTCCCCTCGTCACAATATACTATGCTTGACGAGTTATGACGTTGAAAATTACTCGCGATTCGTTAAAATTGCATTTTTTCACGATATATGAATCAGTGGGAACGAAAACACACCAACTCGAAAACACGAAAATAATGAGGACACAACTTGCACACTGAGAGAAGAAGTTAGTCCAAGAAAAAAATTTTTGGTGCCGAAAGACAAGTACAGGACACTTTAAAGGTCCAATTTTGGACAGATGCGCTAACTTCCATGACCTTCATGAAAACTGACTGTCTTTCATGAAAATTGAGCATTTTTGAGTTACCGAGTTGGTGTGTTTCCGTTCTCACTAATTTATATATGATCACAAGTTATGAGGTTGAACTCCACGGAAAAAGAATTGCTTTTTCCATCAAATCAGCAATCAAACATTAAGAATGACGTTCAGTGACATGATGTGTAAAGTCTCCTATTACCCCATAAATTAAAACAAACAGGATTATATAATCCAACCTGGAAATATTGGAGTTTTTCTCAATTATTGACGACGTCAGCCGAGCTTGTGCAAAGCAAAAAAACACTGCATCAGCTTAGGACAGTATTTAGCACTGATTTAGGGGTTTTCCGATAAAGGGGTGTGCTCAAAAAAGATTGATTGCCGATAGGCACCCGCCTTGCGGCAGTACAGCTCGATTTTAAATCCTGCTCCCGCAATACTGCCGTGCTGAGGAAGAACGCCGTATGAACATTCAAGAGTTGCCAAATTTCCCTCGATAAAATGTTTGTTTGAGAGAAAAGTCACGAACGTTTTTCCTTGAAATTCTCAGGGACTTTAAGTGAAATTGCGAACAAAATTATCCGAAAAATTGAAAGGAAGATATTCATAAGTGTACCAGGAAATTGGTGTTTTAAAAAAGGAAATTTGGCAACGCCTGAAGGTTCATACGGCGTTTTTCCTAAGCACGGCAGAATAATTGAGGGGCGAACCGCGCCAACGCTCCGATAAAACTTATTCGTGAATCCCGATATCGTATCGGATCGGAATCTTG